TGAATATTACTGTCATTACATACATGGACATTGTCCTGATATTCACATGAATATTACTTTCGTTACATACATGAACATTGCCCTGAAAGGGGTCAGAGTAAGTTCGGTATGCTCTGACCCTCAAGTATTAATAATAATAATATTCTTCAGAAACCATTACTATCTACAAGGAGGGAGCAAGAGGTCACTTGAACTTGACCATCCCAAGTCTTCAAGACCTAAACCCCGACAATGTAGCGATAGCGATAGACCACAATATATGTGAAATTGTACGTAGATAATTGTGATAAACGCTTAATATCAAATGTATGTCATTTGCTATTTAACATCCCCGATACGCATGCGTACTTGTACTATTGTATCCAAGTGCGGAATCTGTTGTTGTTAACTTTTGTTAGATAGTGTACATGTGCCATTTAAGTGGTGTATCAATAAGTCGGAATACCTGATATAATGCACACGTTATTTTCCTCCTGACAAACCAGACATACTCAAAATGAGTTACTGTAGTTGCAACAAGGAATCGCTATCAATTCGGGAAGAAATACAGCGCTTCCAAAGTGTTCATCCAAGTATCTATGCTGTGTACGATCTACTGGAACTCATTACAGATCCGCTGTTGAAAACATACATAGGGCAATATGTCGTCTGCATTGAAGGTAGGCAATGTGGATATTGGATTCAAAATAAAAAGTGAAACATTAAAATAAATTGTAGTAAGACTTTATATTTCTACATCAGCGTTTTGTGCAGTCAGCTATTTTACAGCATTTTCATATTACAGAGTTAGGATTTGTATTTTTGTCAGTATAAGGTAGAAGAAAAGAAATACGAAATAAACTCGCATTTCTGACCAAGATATTTAAAGCAAGATGTAATCACTTATATTGTTCTAATAGTTGCTATTGTTGGACTTTATTTTGTTTTGTTTTTTATTTTCGGTGAAGAATGCAAAGTTCAGTCCAATTAATGTTAAGTAAAAAACTTTATATCTGCGACTTTTTGTTTGTTTATTTGTTGTTAAGCATAAAGCTACACAGTGGGCTATCTGTGCTGTACCCACCGCGGGTACCGAAACCCGATTTTTAGCATTTATAAACCTTCAGACTTACCGCTGAGCCACCGGGGTGCCTCTAAGCTCTATTAATACAACTTGTAAAAGTTCCACGTAAAAAAAATTAGGGCTAATCTCACAAATAAATAACGCCTCAATGGAGATTCCATTTATTTGCTATTATTCTTATATGTACGGTGTTTCTTGTAGCTCTAGTACTTTGTTGAAATACAAATTCAAAATCTACAACGATGAACTAATTAACTGGCTGACTAGATAATCAATCAATGATTTCAAATTAAATTATTTTCGCTTAACAAGTGTTTTTGATAATTTAACTCGATTCATACCCTTCCAAGGAACCTGTGGTCACTAAAACACGCATGCGTTCTTCACCATGTTAAAAACGCTTAGTCTAGTCTAATATACTGGTTTTATATAGCCTACAACACTGCCCTCTTCCTGATTTGTGAAGTCCCTGGAACAATAGTACTAAACATAGAAAACAATGGTACAGTAAAAACTTACATTTCCACAATTAACAATAAAGTAACTCTTAACAATTACCAATATCATATTAATTCATACTGCAATTATTAAAACATAAATGTTGTCAAAAAGTGCAATCAAAAGTTTGATTAACAAACCAGATCTTCTTTCTTTTATAACTCCCTGGCCCTAAACTGTCCAGTCACGAAACCTTTTTATTGTTTTCTTTTCTGTGGCTTACGGTATGAAGATGGGATCACCTCTTATGCTTTACCAACAATTCTTGTCTTGTTACAGGGAAATTATTTCCAGGTAGAAGGTCAAGGAAATCCACCGAAAGCTCCATCCCCTGTAATGGTCTGGAAGTGATGTTAACAGGAACCTCGTGCCCTTCAATCCGTTGATTTACTTTTGTTACTTTTGGATGTCCACTTGTCAACATTCTTCCAAAGACAATCACAGTAAATGACCATTGGCTTAAACAACCAGTCTTTCTGGATACTACTTTGTTGCATTTTAGTTGGGATGTCTTTATTATACTACGCTTTCTTACTTGTTGTAACTAAAAGCCCATACTTTGATGGCGTAATTTTTGTGTAATTCACAGGGATTTCGAGGTAAAGAGTTGTGAAACTGCTTAAAGATAGTCTAACGTCATATCTATGTTTCTGCTTGAAGCCTACACCCAATATGGATTCTTCTTCTATATCAGTTACTCACATGCCCTGTTGTATAAAGAAGCTTCCTACAATGAAGAGATGATTACTAGCTTCCCTCTTGCTGGAACTTTATGACCACTCCTTATTTCCACTGGGACAAATGAGTTATTCTCATCTTCAAGGTATTGTCTCCTTGGTTTATTATCAACGACTGCTTCATCACAGTCTCACGTATAATGCCTATGATTCTCACATTTATAGCGGTAGTATAGTTTGTAGTTGTTGTAGGGGTGGGAGAGGGGTAGTGAGATTTTTTATGACTTCCTGCCCTTAATTCTCAACTGAAGTAAGGCTCTTGTGGTTTTTGATATTGTGGATTCTATGTCTCGAAATTGTAAAAAGGGTGATATTTTACAACTATATCCTTACAACTGAATTATTATATAGTTGCTTTACACTTGAGATTTACATTCTTCAAGCCAGAGTTTTTCATGGAGGCAAAGGAACAAGTTAGCGAATGACAGAACTAATCTTGATGCCATAGTAATACCATCTACGACATCATATAAAAATGATTGTCAAATTGAAAGTGAGATTCCGTGGTGGTAAAATTAATGAGATTCTAAAACATCTAATTAGTAAATCTCATTTCATTACTTTCATTCTGATGCCCCCCCAGTGGCACAGCAGTATGTCTGCGGACTTACAACGCTAGAATCCTGGGTTCGATACCCGTGGTGGGCAGAGCACAGATAGCCCACTGTGTAGCTTCGTGCTTAATTACAAACAAACAAACAAAATTCATTCTGATATAAAAAGTCTAAACATAACATTATGGTCTCATCTTGTTTGTTTGTTTCTAATTACAAAGCTACACAATAGACTACCTGTGTTGTGCCCACTACGGGTATCGAAACCTGGTTTTTAGCTTTATAAGCCTTGATACTTACCATTGTGACAATAGGGTACTGGTCTAATTTAACGAAAGGTTAATACGGAGAGATTCTGTATCAAGCTAATAAAATATACCCTATTATACAAATGTGGTCTTATGTATCTTTAAGAAGACCCAAAATTGTCTTTAATAGTATATTATTAATACTGAATGGTTCGTATACTTTAATTAAAAAACCCGCAAGTTCATGATTACAGTGATTAAGCACGATATATTAAATCAACTTTGGAGCCTCACCACGTCGTTATATTCTATGTCGACATGTACTGTCACGTTCCATCTCATGACTGTGCATTTTGACAATAGCCCTTCAGCGTAATTTCCAGTGCAAAAGGCTCCGTAGTAAGACTGTCAAGTATAAAGCACACCACACCTCTTTGTTTGCTTTTCGCAACCTATCTAATGTACGACAACGACGGTTTCTCAGCATCCGTTTTAATAATCCTATTACACATAAATCCATGGATACTACGTCCGCAACTTGACCGGTATGTCTTCGTATGGAATAGGATGAATATCCATTCCAATCTCCAGCTCTGATTTGTATAGTACCCCACTAAACGTTTCATGGTATTATAAACTGTAATTTCATTACTTCTCTTGAAAATCCTTTCTCTACTTAGTTTGATATATTTCGCCAATATTTTTAATAGATAATTTTAATTATTGGCAGATTGAGGAACAGCAAACAACAGAACATGTAAAGACTGTTTCAAGTGTGATTCAGAAAACATCTGTATTAAAATTAGTACATACCTGTCCATATCTTGATAAGTAAATTAAGGTTACAGATTATAAGTTTTTGACTAGGTAACCGTAACCAGGGTGGCGATAATAGCCAAATGCTGGGTACTCATAGTGACCAAACCAATAATTAAGGTAACCATAGTACATGTAATGACATATCTACTCGGACAGCTAAGTATCTTGCATATTTGTTAGTGACTAACATATGTACGTGTCAGTTTCATGCTTGTCCATAGTTATTGCTGCTGTTTTACTTTAATGTTCATATACAGAATTGGTTGAGGATTTGCGGGGTCCCGGGTTTGAATCATGGTGTTAAGACTAAATGCTTCACACTTTCAGCTGTGGGTGAGTTGTAAGAGCGGCAGCCAATCACGTTATTCGGTTAAGAGTAGTTACTTCAATTGTGGGCATGAACATGCGTCAGGTGTTGTCCAGGTGAACATACAAACAAATGTGCAGAATACGCAAATAAAAATTACATACTGTCGTTTTCATGTTACACTGGTGCAGTGGCGTAGCAAGAGGGGGCAAGGGGCAGTCGCCCACGGGCGCAGGCGTGAAGGGGTGCAAAATTTCCTCTGGCCTATAATGCCTATTAATTAATAATTATGCCCTCCCCTAGGATATAGCGCAACTGCCCTACGTTAAGCAAATACGACACGGTGTTACGTTATTTGTGTGTATTAGGCTTGCAGTTTTAACTTTTGAAAGCCGCCCACTGAAATACAGTGAGACCGAATTGACGTACAGAAGTAAATTACACTATTGTTACACATTATTCATCTGTAAATCAAATACAAGTCCTAGAGTACAACATACAAGTAAGTGTATGTTCAAGAAAGAGAAAATACGAGATTGGTGTAATATATATAACTGGTGTGCAAGACTGGCAATATATGCAACAGGCAAAGCCTAGATCTAGATCTAGTAAGCATTATAGGCCTAATGTAGTGATTTGTAATTGTATTGACTGATTGTAAATCACGTCTTACACCAACTAATGTACTAGACTTTAGGTCTAGTTGCAGTTATAACTTTATTTCTAGACCCTAGGTCCATCATCATACAAATTGTAGCCTATATTATAGGCATACTTAGACCTCTACTAACTATTAAACTAGGCATTGCACTGGGACAGATCTAATGACTAAGTTAATAAATCTAGATGTAACATTTGTTCTAAAAGTAAGGCCTAATACATAT